AAGTCAACCTTCAAGGAGACAAACAGGGTGGGGGTGGGGGCAGGGGCTGAAGAGATGGCTCAGAGGTTAAGGGCACTGGCTATTCTTCCAAAGGTCCTGAGTTCAATGCCCAGCAACCACATGGTGGCTCACAACCATCTATAATAAGATCTGGTGCCCTTTTCTGGCATGCAAGTACACAAGCAGGCAGGATACAGCAAAAATAATAAAGAGAGAGAGACACTGTCAAACAGGAGCTTTTCTGAATCGCAGTCTAACATAGTTAGGATAAGAAACATACCCCTCTGCCTAACTCTGACAAAAAGTAATGTAGTCAAGTAGTTTCCCCACCCTCCTTCCTGACTATCCTGTTTTCATTCCCCCTTTATAAAACCCATAAAATTCTGTTATTGCTCAGTGTAAGCTCACACTCTGTTTTATAAAATGGAGGATGCCCTGATTTACTAATCACAAATAAAAGCTATTTAAACTTATACGTAAATTTGTAATTTTGTCTTTTGAGAGTAAGTGGGGCACAGGTCCTTGGAGCCCACTTGTCATTCCCTGCCCTCCTTTCCTAAAGCCCTCATCTAGTCATTGTGAAACAGAAACTAGTCTCTCTTGTTTTTATGTAGAGTAAAAGCTGACAGTAGGGAAGAAGATGGCAAATGTGAAATAGAATTTGAAAAGTGAGAACAAGAAAGAAAGGAAAGAAAGAAAGAAAGAAAGAAAGAAAGAAAGAAAGAAAGAAAGAAAAGAGAGAAAAAAGGAAGAAAGAAAGAAAGAAAGAAAGAAAGAAAGAGAAAGAGAAAAAGGAAGGAAGGAAGGAAGGAAGGAAGGAAGGAAGGAAGGAAGGAAGGAGAAGGAAGGAAGGAAGGAAGGAAGGAAGGAAGGAAGGAAGGAAGGAAGGAAGGATTAGAAAGAACAAGTGCACAAAAAAGGAAGGTTGGGTGTTACTGATAACCTTATACCATACAGCATGAATGACAGGATTTTCTAGCAAAGACTTGTCGGGGCCAAAACAGATCCAGAGGGGAGCTAGGGTCAGTGTCATTGTTCATCTTTTAGGCCTCATTCACAGGACAATGGCCAGGTAAGGCAAATGGGCCATGGAATCTGTGGCACTTGGATGTGCAAGCAGTAGAGCTCTGGAAGGAAACAGGATTCTCTGTGCCAGTGACTTTTACTAACAAAATGCTAACAAAACCCACTCTAAAACCATTTTGACAATCAGCTTTTCTGGGAAAGGCCTCTGCCTGCTGCTACTTTGGTTCTCCCACAGTGCTCAGTTCAATGAAGGATAATAGCCAGCAGACACTCAGCAAATAGTTGGACAGCTGGGAAATCTTAATATGAAGTAATGTTTTCGCTGTGGGGGGAGTCAGGGGCTCAGAAGAGCATTTAATAGATCCTCCTGTGAGAAACTAGCCTTTGCTTTGTGGAAAAAAGGCTCAAGACACAATAAGACTCCTATAGTTAAGTCTTATGTTATTTGTTATTAAAGAGGCAAGGACTTAAGATGTGCTTTTTAACAGTCTTTAGTTTGGCTGTAATTTAAGATGACTTTTACAAATTAGATCCTAATCCTTGCAGACACAGATGGCTATTACAGAGCAGCTTTGTAAAAACACTAGTCATTCAACTTGAAAGAGCATTCAGAGAGGGATGAAGTGCCATTAACTATCAGCTCATCTATGACTCTAGAGGCCTAGAGTCCAGGGCTTTCTGGGTTTAGCAATGGAATCTGGGTGGGCCTAGGGCATCTGTTCTGGACTGGAATAACCTTTCTGAGCTCACTGAGGAACAGGAGATTTAGAAGAGCCTGAGGTTATCAACATTTGACAACAGTTACCGAAAGTTTACATAGGAGGCACCCCAGTAAGAATCATAGCAGAGAGAAATGTGGCTCTGATAGGGCCTGTCTCTGTAAGTCATTATCAAACACCAGGGCAAGTACTATTAAGGAACAATGCATAAGCTGCAATGGTACACTGCTTGGGAGAAGAGGGAAGGTTCACAAACAGGTTGATGTTTGAGCTTGGCATTAAAACATGAGTTCACACAGGACAGAAACAGTAAGGGAAGGTGAATATTGAAGGAAACCTTAGCAGACAATATAAAGCATAGAGGCACAAGGGTCTCTATGCGTTTAGGGAATAGTGAGCAATCTCCTATGTCCTGCTGATGGAAACAAGGTTGGAAATGTAGTAAGAGGCTAGACTGCCAAGTTTTCAACTCATTCAAGGGACCTGTACTATACTAGGGTAGCAGAAACAACTTTAGACTCTTAAGGAAGAAAGAAAATGGTCAACAGGGCTTTGCAAAAATCACTCAGTGGCAGCTAATTTCAGGTTGACTAAAGATCTCTTGGTCAGTATCTTCTCTGAGAAACTGGGACAAACTTGGTAAAAGCTGATCTTATAATAAGGAGTGGAAGCCAAAACAGAATTAGGTTTAAACAAGACACTGAGGGAAGAGAATCACTGACCAGCCTTCTTTGACGATGGAAAACGACAGTGTGTGATGTAGCCGAGGCTGCAGGTGGGCTCTCTAAGGCTGGCCACACTAGCAAGGACCTACACTTTGAGGACTCAAAGCCCTGGCCAGAAAGCTCGAGGAATGGAGGCAGCAGGCCAACAAACCCCTGTTTCTTTTCACCAGTAATATTTCAGTCTACATCTTGCTTGATGTTGTGGAAAATTATCTGGCTTCTTTTCAATTCTCAGCACCCACTAGTGGTTCACTGATCCAACACCCCTTTTCAGGTATTGCATGCTCGCGGTACAGACATGCATGCTGGTGGCACACCCACACTCGTAAAGGAATTAACTTAAGGTGCAGAAGGTCCCTGTGCTCTTCCTCTAGTCTTCACATCTTACTGCTGAGACCCACGAGTGTGACTAAAAGAATGGGAAAGAGTCATTTCTATTCCAAGTCCTGCAATTTCTCGGAATCCAAGAGTTCACCACAGAATATAAAGTATAATTGCTGGCATGACCTTGAAACCTTTGATAGCTTTTTCACCAACATCTGTTTGTGTGGTGTACATATATGCAGGCATGTCTGTGTCCATCAAAAATGAAGGAGAAGGACTTGGAGCAGTCGTTGGGCCCAGTGAGAGAAGGACCGACTAATGGCCACCATTTAGTGTCTGTTCTAGTTTCCTGAGCTTAGACAGAACAGGCAGAATCTTTAACTTATCCAGAGCAGATTTATGTCTTGGTAGTAGATAAAAATACAGCACTGGTTTCTGACTCCATCCTACAAAACTATCAACCTGAAATACTTGGATAAGCCAAACTCTTGTTTGTGGTATGTTAAATAAAATCACAGTAAAAAAAAAAAAAAAAAAAAAAAAGATTTACTATGTATCTTACAGTTGAGCAAGTCTCATTCTATGTACAACAGGAAAACTCTTAAAGAGAGTTCTTACTCTTTCTTCCTTCCTTCCCTCCTCTTCTTTTTTTTTATTTTCCCAGAGAGTTTCTCTGTGTAGCCCTAGCTGTCCTAGAACTCACTCTGTAAAGCACAATGAAATTGGATATCCTCTTGCCTCTGCCTCTGTAGTGCTGGGATTAAAGATGTGTGCCGCTGACGCCCAGCAGTTCTTGCTATTTCTACAGACAGGAAAATCAAAACTTCAGTATGAGATAGTCCTTTTCTAGAAAATGTTTTCTTACACAAGACCAAATCTGTCTCCTTTAGCTTCCTTTTTTAAAAAAAGCTTTTCTATTAATTCTTTGAAAATTTCACATGGTATGTTTTGATTATACTCACTCCTCCCCAACCACTCCCAGACGCTCCCCAACACTGAGCGTCTGGCCCCACTGAAGCCATCAAGCCCAGTTTGTGCTATCCGCACTCTTCTGGCTGTGCGGCTCACAGCTTTGTGCCACCCTAAGAGCAGCTTTTTCTCTGCAGTAGCCTGTGACTGCAGAGCCCAACAACTGGAAAAGGTGCACAAAATGAGAATGGAGAGCGCCGCCTCTTTCTCCTCGCTGGTCCCAGGGCTATGCACAAGAGTCTCACAAAAACGTCAGAACCTTTCTGTCATGGCAAGCCTTTAGAAGCTGAAGAAAGTCTCAGTGTTTCCCTTTCCAAAGAATATTTCCTCAATAGACATGCTCTCCCGTCCCTTTTTTCCTATTAGCTTTGGGGTCTAGACGGGCTCTTCTTTCTTCAGACTTCCTGTTTGAGTATGGAGCTTAAGAACTCTGTCAGGGTTAGTTTATTTTAGTGTAGAGCTGAAAAGGACCATTTTGTCAGCCTCCAGTTGGGCTTATACTTCTAAAAATGCAACCATCTTTTCTGTTGGCGGTACGCCGCTAGTGCATATTTATCTTAATTCAACCACAACTGCTAAAGGTATGAACCGCTACATATTTTCATGAAATATTACTTTGTCTACAGTTTCAGTATTTTCAGGTTGCTTTGATATTGTTTTTCATAATTCAAAAATCCTATACTCATTTACATAGCTAATAAATATGGTATATAGTAAAAGATTAAATAAATACACAGCTTGTCAGTTTCCTCCATGGAGATGACAGGCAATATTTTCTGTACGTAAGTAGTGAATCTAACTATCTGTACATTTCTACTTTGCTCCAGAACAGTACGAAATTATTAAACATCTTGCTATAATACAGACACACTACAACTCCAGACCGCTATCTTCAAGGCTAGGAAGACTATCAGACTGCAGAGCAGTCTTAGCAAATTTGTAATTGTGTGGATTCTATTCTAATAATTAAGCTGTTAAGCACAATTCTTGGGTGTACCCTGAGGAATACAAAGATCTTAGGAAAGCCTTGTTGTTGTTGTTGGGATGGTATACATCTAGCATATCTAATTTTTAATACAGTCTTGTGGACGCGTCTGCTGGCCTGGGCCATGCCACATTCAAATGCTGAGGAGGGAAGGCTACAGAACCAGGGCTGTTGGGTTATTTACAGCAGCCCACCACTCAACAATGCCGGGCCAACCAGCTGAATGCACTCTGCGACAGGAAGGAAACTTACGTCTCTCCTCGGAAAGGTGCTCAGTAACTTGAACTCATCCCACGGAAATCCCTTGGAAGCCACAAAGTCAAAGACAATCTGGAGCTTACTGCTGGCCAGGAAACGCCGTTCCAGGAACTCTCCACTGGGGGTTCGGATCCGAAGCTTGCTAACAGGCTCACCATTCTCCTCCTTTGGCTCTGGAGGAAGGGCTTGTTCTAAGGAGAGTCTGATGGCCTACGAAGAGTAAAATTAGCTGTTAAAACAGGGCATTAGGGAACGAGGAAGGGAGAAAGTAGAAAAAAATTTAAAAATTGAAAACCAATCAAGACACATGAGTATTTATATCTATTAATTTGAAACATGTCAACTTATTATTTTGTGTGTTATGTATGCATATGGTGGGTACTTGTGTGGTGTGGTATGGTATGTATGTGGCTGTCAGAGGACAACTTGCAGGATTGTTCTCTTGATGTGTGTTCTGGAGTCTGAACTCAGGTCATCAAGCTTGGTGGCAAGCACCTTTACCTGTTGAGCCATTTACCAGTCCCCATTTAAATGATTTTTAAGTGGACACTTTGGAGGCATTAAGTACATTCACAATCTTATGTAGCTGTTACTATTTCCAAGACCTTTCCCTCACCATAGATAATCCCTATTAATTTTATGCACATCTTTAGAAAAGCATGAAGTTTCATTTCTTATATGTGAACTGTTGTTATAGTAAACTTTACATTCTTTACTTAGCCATGTTTTTGGAACTGGTTAAATTTTTTATTAAAGTAGCATACACAGGAAAAAAAAAATGACCCAATCTTGTGTATAACCTGGTAAGTTTTCAGAATGTCAGCACAGCTATAAACCTGCACCTGACCAAGCACCCCAGAACCACGCCCTTTTCCTAGGTGCTCTCTAGCTTCAAAATCCACCCGATCCTGGAGCCAGTTTTAAAACCCATTAACCTGAGCCAGTGAGACAGCTCAGTAGGTAAAGATACTTGCTGCCTCCAAGTTTGGTGATCTGATTTCAATCCCTGGAGCCTACATGGCAGAGAGGACTGACTTCTATAAGCCATCCTCTGACTTCCAAATGTGGCAATCAAGAAAATAAATACACTAAAAAAGCCTTAACATGTTAAGAATATAGGCTTGCTGTTATGACAGAGAGAGAAGGAAATGTTGGCTATTAGGCAAATAAAAACCTTTCTAACCATGCACATATGAGAAAAGGCAGCAATTTGGGGCTGATCACTTGCCTAGCATGCACAAAGCCCTGAGTTTGATTCCCAGTCTCACAACATCTTCCTGACAAAGTCCTTGTATAAAACACAGCAGTATTTAAAAAGTACATAGTACTGACACCTGGTCAGCATTTGGCTGGTGACAAGTGCCTCACGTTGAACATAACACCATGAACAACTGAGGACAGTTGCTACCATTGTTGTTACAATTATTCCTTTTACATACATCAAATCAGAAATAAATCTGCTGTTTTCTAGTTTCTCCTGCTTTCTCTTTAATCCACCTGTCTGCTTCCTATTTTGACATTTCCCTGTGCAGTAACAGATGCTACATTATTGCCGGAAAGCAAGTGATTATACTAGAGGAGAATAACAACAGTAGCCTATTAGCCTATTCAATGTACAGACAATATCTGCTCCTCAATGTAAGCAGTCTCCATGGCTTTTCTGCAGAATGAAAGCCAGCTTCAGATAACCCACGCTAGTGGACCAATGGGGCAACCGATGAAGAGGTATTAGGTAAGCCCACTATGCCTTGGCTCTGAATAACCAACACTGGCAAAAAGAACAAAAATACAGCAGTCTCAAATACACTAACAGCACAGGACTTGTGTAAGCAAACACTGTTTTAAAGCAATGACACAAAGGACACCTAAACTCAAACAGTCATTGTAAACATCACTGTTAAACTTCATTTGGTTTGCTCAATAAATATAGGTTTTTATTTGCATTATTTTAGGTTTGTGATAAAATAAACCTGTTATAAGAATACGAACTGTTCTGAAGACTTCTGAGTTAAAAATATCTTCCTATTTAAAACATTTACTTCTGAACAATAAGAACTGGGGACAGTTCCTCATAAAAGGCTTCTTCTACACAATTTCATTTTTTTTAAAGAAAATAGCCAAGTGGTGGTGGTGCACACCTTTAATCCCAGCACTTCAGAGGCAGAGGCAGAGGCAGAGGCAGAGGCAGAGGCAGAGGCAGGCAAATCTCTGAGTTCAAGGCCAGCCTGGTCTACAGAGCAAGTTCAGGACAGCCAGGACTATACAGAGAAATACTGTCGCAACAAGCAAGAAGCAAACAAACAGAAAATATATTCTTTTACTAAAAAAGGTCTCACATTTGCACACACACATGTACAAAAATATGTGTACATTATATTCTAGGCTTTTATTAATAAGTACATAACAAACAATAATTTAGAATGTTTAACAATCTAAAGCTAACATTAATTCTGTGAATTCTTGCTGAGTGTTTTCCTGCATTAGGCACTATTTTAGACGATAGCAAAAGAGCAAAGAAAAAAAGAGCACAAACATTTTCTGCACAAATGGATATTGATATTTCATTTGGGTGAAGAGAAAAATCATGGCAACAAAATGCATATAGGAAAATGTATACTCATTAATGACTTAAAACATCTGTAGAGTGGGGAATGCTGGAAGAATGGAGGAAGAGCACAATTTCTAACACTGTAAGGCACAGTAAGATGAACATTAGAGTATTACAAGAAGCAGGAGTCACAGTGGACATCAAGGCCCTGGGACTGGTGTGCTGAAGAACAGCAGAGCAGCCAATGTGACTAGTGCAGATAAGTAGGTGTAGGGGACAGAAAGGGTACATTGAGAATGTATTCTGCTTGAAAAAGCCATTTGATATTTTCCTCCTACTTTAAAATTAAGATACAATTACAAACAATAAACCTGTCATGTATACGTATGTGTACATATGTATGATACTGAATATCTAACCCAGGGCTTTGTATTTATATGGCAAACACCCTATCATTGTTCTGTAACTCCAATGCACAGAATTCCTGATTTGATAAAGTCTTATTTAGATTTTTTTTAAAAGATTAAAACCAAAACAGTTTATGCTTTCTGTATAGGTTTAGGTATGTGCATGTGAGCACAGCTGCCCGCAGAGGCGAGAAGAGTGCATCAGGACCTCTGTAAGCTGGACTTACAGGTAGCTGAGAACTGGGAACTGAACTTGAGTTCTTTGGAACAGCAGAATGTATGCTTACTCATGAGTCATGTCTCCAGCCTGAGATGTGCTATTTTATGGATCATAACTGGTGTCATGTCTACACAATCTCTGATTAACTTGAGACCATGAAGATTTTCCTCATGTTCTTTCCTAGAACTTTAAAGATTTAAGTCGTAAACTCTCATACTTTGTTCTTTTTTCATTATTGTTTCAACCATTCCAGTTATATTTCTTCATATACACTTTAGAAACAGTTCGTCAGTTTCTAGGTAACATTTTACAAAGATTTAATTTAGATCACTCGGTATCCAAAAGAATCACTGGTGCTATCTCCCTTATCCCCACTATACTCAGGCATGCACCTCTTTCAGTACTTGCTACGCAAGCACCACATTCCACAGTTTAAAGACTGTCAGGCAGGGCAGACCCTACACCCGCACCACTGTCTACGCAGACTGTGAGTACACGGCTTAAGAAACACAGAGAGTGAGTGTACATTTTCTTTATTTGGATATAGACATGAACTCAAAAGGAAAGTATCAGCAGAACAAACTAGGGGCTCAATGAAAGACGTTACAGAAGCAGCACTGGATTTTTTGGTGGGAAAAGTTTGGGGAAGGGATGGAAATACAGTTAGTATATTCTCACAATCTAAGAATGATGAGAAGTGCCTATTTAAAGCATCAAATGGGGAATAGAAACATAGGTAAAAGAAAACCAGGAATCTAATACTTCATCTAGTTTTTTCTAAGAGTCCCATATACTAGATCAGGGATAATTCTTTTAAAGACAGGTTTGGTCTCTTATACCAAAATGAGCCCAGGAAAAGCACAAATGTGTTGTAAAAAATATTAATAGCCTCACTACCAAATACAACAGAATTCCTTTCTTAAATTATGTCCTACCTCACGTTCCTCTTCTTGCTCTTTGCGAATCTGCTCCAAACGAAACTGTTCTGCCATCTCTCTCTCATGAGCTTCTCTCTGTTGATACAACCGACAAAATATAAGTATTTAATAAACATTTATAGCAAGAAATAATAAAACAAAGGAATCAAGCCCAGACAGGATTGTGATAAATGTTCACAGAGTGTTGAGTTCTCCTATAAGGAGTTGTAGTTTGACTGTAGCATACAGTACAGTTGGGCCACTTCTGCTGTGGGTGGGGGAGAAGAAGAAGGAAGAAATTATATCTGAGGAACTTATTCAACATACTCTACATGGCCACTGTGATAATAGCAATGGTTTTTTTCTGGAATAAGAACAGAAATGAAACCAACAAAAAGTAGTTTTGTGATACACTGGATTCTTGGTCACACAACATTGTCAGCTCTGGATAAGGGGGTATATAAGCTCCTTTGAAGGTTCAGAATATGGCTGAGTTGGCCCCATGTGTGCCTCGTCTACATTAAGCTCTAGTTTGATCCCTGGCACCACAAAGTATGAACTGAGCATGGTAGCACATGCATAGATCCTCTCACTCTGGAGAGGCAGCAGGAGCATTGGAAGTTCAGTCACTCTAAGCTACACAGAGTTTAAAGGCCAGTCCAGAACACAAAGGCTGTCTCTACAACCAAACCAAAAACAAGTCCCCCAACCAAAAAACAGAAACAAAACAAAAACCCAAACCACATTTAGGACATTTCTTTTGCTCCCACTTTGGACACTTTCTGCTCCCTCCCTGGCACAGACAATATGCCTCCATGCCTCCATACTCTCTGGAGGCTAGCTTGTTCTGCTGTCTTTGATGTAGTTCACTTGCCTCACCAGTAGGAAACATCCCCAGCATATTCCCATTTGCTGGCTCTTTAAAAAAGCTGGAAAAAAAAATATATATATATAAAATAATATATATATATTTATATATATATATTTAAAATAATATATATATTTATATATATATATATATATATTTTTTTCTCCCTATTGAAACTCTTAGTTCACAAACATTCACAGATTCATTACTTCTGTGATGCCTTGTGGGACACTTGCCTGAGAGGAGGCAGTGTGGTCTTGACTTAAATGATAAGTCTTCTTTTGTGGGCACAAACATGACTGGTTCATTTCTTCGTTCCTTCAACACCCAGAAAAGCAGCAGGTGCTTAAAAAGCCTTAAACAAGTCATCAGTTCTCACCCTAACAGCATAGTGGTCACTCAGAACACTTAAACACCTGGGCAGGGAACTGACTCAGCAGAGAAGGGAGCCTGCTGCCCTATCTGAAAAGCTGAGTTAGATTCCTGGGGCCCATGCGGTAGAAGGAGAGAACTGACTCCTTCAAGGTTCTGACCTTCACATGCACACTGGCACACAAGTAATAAAAAAGTGTGACAACCCTGTTGGGTTCTACCACTCACTAACTATAAAGTACATAAAGTACATACTGTACTCATTTTGTTATCATTTTTATGATTCTGACACAACTTATTTTGTCAAAATGAGTGACAAGTTGAGAATTATGAATAGAACTACTTTCTGTTAGCTGAACCTAGCTAATAAAAAGTTAACATTTTTTAGGACTCTAAGTAATTAAAAGAGAGAGAGAGAGATGGCGTCCACAACCAAAGGCCATTTAGGATCCAGCTCTATGTTCTAGAAGAAACTTGACCAAACCTACCTTTGCCCTGTCAGCTTCAAGGGAAAGACGGTAGGCCTCATCTTGCTCTCTCTTCACATTTTCTCTGGCTTCACGTTCATCCTTAAATAAAAGATTCAGGTAAAGTTTCAATTTTTTTTTCTTAAAGAAAAAAAGGAAAATCTTCCTGCTTTATTTCTAAATTAAGTTGTTATTACAATTAAATAAGGAAATTTAAAGTATACAGAATAAGGAAACAAGCAAGATGGGCCTACAACAGCAAAAATGAGAATATTTGAATCCTGGTTCTACTGTATATAAACTGACCAAGTGACTGCTTGTTTACAGTAAATTGAAATCCTATTTACCTGATATGGCTATTGTGAGAATTAACTGCAGTAACATACGAATTGTAGCAAAGCATTGAACACTTAATTGATTTGCATGATTACGAGTCCTGTCCCCCTGTCTCCTGATTTTTATTTTTTTAGCACTGGTACTAAGGACTGGGAAGAAATTAAAAAAAAAAAAAAAAAAAAAAAAAAAGACAGCAAAATACTCTTGTTAAGCTCGTTTCATACAACACAAAATTTCAGTTCAGACAAACAGCCTCTCCTCTTTTGGTAGTTAAGCACTTCTCTCCTGCATTCTTACTCAAAATATGCAGCTAACGAAAGTTATCTGTGTCAAAATCTTTTACAGTGTTTTTTCTGTGTGATGGAATTAAGTGAGGTAACATGATCTCAGAAAAGAAATAACCACGTTTTCTCTGATATGCAGAATGTAGCCAATGACATATGTACATGTGGTATTGTAAAACATGAAGAAAAGAGAACCAGAAAGGCTAAACGGAGGAAGCTGGCTGGTCAAAGAGCTGTAGAGACCCCACCTCCACCTTCCTAGCACTGAAAGGAAGAACCAGCTTCTAGCCCATGCTGGAGAGCCGACCTCAGGTCCTCAGGCTTGTGTGGCACATGCATGACAGAGCCTTATCCATGGCCTCTTTTAGAATACTTTTAGCTTCTAAAGTGAGCATACCACCTGCCTACATTGAGCTCTTGATTTTATATAAAATTAGAAATTAATTAACTACCATATTTTTATTTGTAAAATCCATGGAATAGTCATGTGCATATGCCATGCCTGCTCACGTGCTTAAATTTATTAAACAGCTGTACTCTTAGGATATAAGTTTTTCTTTCAGCCATTGTTGCCTTGGACCGAAAAATATACTGTCACAAACATTTGCCCACTTCTGACTTACAACTGGAAATTCCACTTCTCCTTCTTTCCCTTTCTAGTTAACTACATGCTCACTCAGGACGGAGCGCATGCTCAGCATTCTCTTACTGGTCTCTCTGACACCTAGGCAGCACTGGCCTTTCCCTTAAGGCTTTCTAAATCCAATACTTAAGTAATTATAAAGCAAAACCAGATACAATAGTACAAGGAAACCAAAACTACACATAAGAATAGGCCTTAAGACATTTACAGTATATTTTAACTACACAGACATATTTTCTTCTAACTATATTTTAACAAACCCACAATTGATAATTTTTAGTCCACTCTTATTATGAAGTTTTATGGTGACTTGACAGAGTCAACAAGGCATATTTTGTTTCTGTTTACATGTTCATTCAATGAATTTATTATTCTGTAAATAGATTTCCTTAACCCAAACTCAAGTTCATGAAGAATGGCCACTTAGATATTTCATCTAAGTTAGTTAATCTGAATTCTACAGTTTCTTCATCATAACTGAGGAGGAGCAGCAATCAGGCCGGAATATTTGTGCACAACTTCGGTGCTGCCAATGGCAATCTACATGAATGGATAAATGTTTTTCTTTTCAGACATCAATTAAAGCATTGAACTCTTATGGATCCTGTGTGTCCATGGAAAAATACAGTTCCAAAATTATCTATGTTTAGAATGCAATCAACAAGTTCTAAGAATCATCTTGTCCCTTTTTACACCTGCACTATGGAATTCTTAAGACCTTTAAAACTTTAATTTGACTTTATTTTTCCTCACTTCACCTCTTTGAAATTAGTTTTGATTTCAGGGTATTTGTGCTTTTCCTTTAAAGCATTTATTAAACTGCAATTATGTTTCATAATTATTTATTCAACATAAATAAACACCACAAAAGGAGTGTTCATCTGTGTTTTACATGCTGCTGATGGTTTTAAAGTGTAGGCTAAATAAATCAACGTGACAGCGTGAGCATGGAGAGGTGTGCTCACTGTGCTACATGCAGGACAAAGGTTCATATGAAGTGTCCTCTACTACTGTGCTAAACCTTAGTTTTTACATTTATTCTTCTCTTACACAATGCATCCCAACCACAGTCTCTCCTCCCTAAACTCCTCCTAGCCCTTCCCCCACCTCCCCTGTCCCCCAGATCCACTGCTTCTCTGTTTCCCTAAAGAAAACAGCAGGCCTTCCAGGGATATCAACTGGACACAGCATAACAAGTTAGAATAAGATTAGGCACAACTCCTCATATCAAGGTTGGATAAAGCAACTCAGTAGGAAGAAAATGGTCCCAAGAACAGGTAAAGAGTCAGAGACACCCCTACTCCCATTGTTAGGAGTCACAAAAACCCCAAACTAAACAACCATAACATATACGCAGAGGACCTAGCACAGACCCATGCAGGCTCTGTGACTGCCATTTCCGTGTCTGTGAGCCCCCATGAACCCTGCTTAGCTGATTCTGTGTTCTCCTGTTGTCCTCGATTAGTTTTTCAGAGAAAGTCTCTCAATACCTGGGGTCAATGATTTGGCGCTCTGGCCAGAAACCCCTGCGATCTGCCCATTTCTTCCCCTCACTCCTGGGTTATAGATACATACTGCCCAGATTCCAACTTGAAATCCTCATAAACAGTAAATACCTTATCCACAGAGTTCTCTCTCCAGCATCCCCATCCACTTCTCTCTCTCAATGACATGTTCTCACTATGCATCCCTGGCTCGCCTGGATCACAATATAGACCAGGCTAGCTAGCCTCAAATTCATAGAGCTATGCCTTTGCAATGCTGGTATTAAGGGCATGTGCAACCATGCTTGGTGTGTGTGTGTGTTTTTTTTTTTCCTCCTTTTTTAATTTTGACACTGGCTCCTTGAACAACTGACTTTATTGTGTCTAGCTTTTGAGTGCTAAGATTACAGGCATGTGCCATCAAGCCTGGCTTCTATCTTCATTTATTTACTTTGATGTTGGGGATTAAACTTAGGGCTTCGTACATGCTAAGCACAGAATCTACCCTGAGCTACACCCTCAGTTCCAAGTATATGCTGGATAAATAGTCATCTTTTTAGGTACAAAGCATCGATTATTTGCACTGCAAAGAGGAAAATAAGTATAGCTCATCTACAAAGTAGCCGGCCTGGTTAATGTAGTCAACTGGCTGGACAGGACTGACTTGTTATGTTACTATGTACATTCTACAATGGGACAAGCCACCTCAGCCATTTAAATACAACTACAGTTCATGAAACAATCACTGTAAGCAAACAGTTCTTTCCTAAAACAGATTGTTGCAAATATAAAGGTCATTATATTCAGGATCTGTGCCCCAGGAATGTGGCATCTGTTGGAGAGAATTTCCTAAACCAAATAGTCACCATTATGCCTACCCCTTTTTTCTCCTTCATTTCTTCCACAAATATTCATTAAGTATCAATTTTACATTTGCTATGACATGTGCACTGGAAACACAGAAGGCCAGGTGACCACTGGTGTTCAGGGTTAGGTTACTCTCCTCTGGCTCCTTAAATAAGGTTGCTTTCTGTTCCACCAGCTTGACTGCTCAAAACTCCACCTGTCTTTCATACACTTTTATAAATACAGGAAGACCAACATGTGCCAAGGAGCCACTTCAGAGATGGAGCATGAGAATAGACTCTGCCCAAGCCTATCTAACAAAGCTAGCGGCAGAGCGTAGGTGGAAACCCAGGACTCCTGAATGCGTCCCCATCTTTTCCTTGTTCCTGTCCTTTCCTGACATCATGGCATGTGGTTCAGAACAAAAGCTCACAAATTTATTAAGGTCTTCTTGTGGTTACAGTTATGTGTGCATAGCTATTATTTGTTCATATCTTATCTAGAGATTTTATATCTACCCCTGCATCTATTCTACTCAAAGCAACCTCTACAATTTGGGAATTAGAGGTAAAAACTGCTAAGGCACCCCCTGATATACACATATTATACTATATTATTAGACTTAAAAAATCCCAGGGGGTGGGGTTAAATCTAGTTTCATAATCTCAAGTATGTCTCTTGGCACTATGCCTATGACCTTCAAATATGTCCTTGCAGAGAGACTTCTAGGCCAGCCTGGGTTTTGGGGTGAGACCTGGTCTCAAAAATCTGAAAAAGAAAAGAAAGGAAGGAAAGAAGGAAAAGACTCATAAAACACTTCTATGCATCAAAGAATGCTATTGAGAGAAGAGACAAACCAATACCTGGCCCAACTTGATATCCACCCCATGGGAGAGAGCCAACCCCTGACACTATTAATGATAATCTGTTATTCTTGCAGACAGGAGCCTAGCATACCTGCCATCTGAGAGGCTTCACACAACAGATAATGAAAACAGATCCAGAGACCCACAGCCAAACATTAGGTGGAACTCAGGCAGTCTGTGGAAGAGTTAGGGGAAGGATTGAGGGCACTAGAGGTATCAAGGACACCACAAGAAGATCTACATAGCCAACTAACCTGGGCCTAAGGGGGCTCATAGAGACTGAACCATCAACCAAAGAAGAGGTATGGACAGGTCCTAGGCCTCCTACACCTATGAAGCTGACAGGCTTCTTGGTCCTCAAGTGGGTCCCCTAACAACTGGAGCAGGGGCTGTCTCTGACTTGGACTCTGTTGTCTCCCTCTGGAACTGTTTCCCTAGCAGGGCTGCCTTGTGTTGTCTCACTGGGAGAGAGGGCACTTAGTCCTGATGCGACTTGATGTGCCACTTGGGGGAGGAGGGGCAGGGAGGGAAGGAGAGGAGAGAGTGGGGTTATGATTGAGGTGTAAAATAAAGAAATTAATTAATTAATGAAGAAAAAACCCCTCTAACCCATTTTAAAAAGGGGAAGACAATCTACAAAATG